AAGTAGGTCGTGGTAAAAATTGCTCCCAGATCTGCATACATCATCGGTGTTATAAAAGGGATGTCAACTGGAAAGTGCTGTTGTGGATTAAAGGCAGGTAGGCACAACGCACAGCAAGGGGAGGGAGTAACCGCTCGCCTCATTTTCCTTGTGCGCCAAGGGCGAGTAGCAAAACGTGACGCAAATGAAATTTCATGGATCGGCGAGATTGGTCACGAGGTGCAGAGTTACTTTGCAATGCGTGCAAATGTTGGACCTAGGATTACAATTTTTAGGCTCATCAGCTTGAACCTTCATTTGAGCTTGCGAATCGTCCCTCGCACTGATTGAACCCCCCGGTTGCACATGATGCACGCACCACCACGCCCTAAGGGCTCAATGTAGGTAAGAGTCAACTCAAAGACCTCTACAGCCACTGTTGTGAGAAAGAAGAATTGATATACAGAATAATGATCCAAAAGGCTCTTTAGTACAAGCAATGAGCAAGGGAGAGATGAGAGGGAGCCTTACCCTATTGGCCAATAAGTTGGCCAATGGGTGAGTTTGCTTGTGGCTCAAGCAACCACAAATGTGTGTTGGTTGGGATTGGTTGGGTTAAAGACCAATCCCCACCAACCACAAAATGTGGTTGGAGGGTACACTAAACAACCCCCCCACCCCCCTTAAGTTGAGCTCTGGTTGAGCTCTCTGGTTGAGCTCCAACGTCTGCGATAGGAGGTAGTATCCGGCCGATGCACACTCGTCCCACTCCCCTTGCAGGACTGGGTCGCTCGGCCTCTCCTCCTTGCCAATCATTATCTTCAACAACCCAACTTGACGGAAGTACAGCGGCATTTTCCACGCCCAATCGTCGTACCCATTGCCATTGAATTTGTGGACGGTGAAGCTCTTAAGCACCTCTCTCAATAGTGAGCCTTGGCTGGTCCGCACTCCCCTTGGCGCTGAACCTCCAGTCTCTTGGCTTCCACTATTAGCACGTGCAAGTGAACCTTCCGTTCCGCCCGACTCCATGGTGTTCTAACGGCAAGAAGTCCAAAAGGACTAAGAACCAGCTCTGATACCACGTGTTGATAGCTATTTGGGACCTAGAAGCTTTAATCAACGCTAGATAGTCCTCACAAGGTCACCTCCAAGGGTCCTTGGGTGCCTGGTAAAACCAGCCCCTATCCAAGGGTCCGTGTTTGTTGAAGGACTTTTCAAGCGTGAAAGCAATCGTCTGCACTAGAGCACCCCCAAGCACCAATTGCGGAAGCAATAACGACTGATTGGCTCGTATGCAGAAATTTCCCCTCGCGTCAATACGTCGATAGAGAAAATGTTCACTCCAAAAAGTTAATTAGAACTTAACGCAAGCACACATTTATAGAACTACTAATGCATGTGCAAAGCAAACACAAGGCAAACACTAAACAGTTATAAAACTGTAATATAAGACTTCGCCATGTTGTCTTGGTAAAACGGTTGTCAAACTTCAGCTGCATTTGGCTTGATCCGCTTCATTAGAATAACTGATTTCAAATGACACTTCATCCAAACGCCCCTGATGACTCCCCTCGCGAGCACTCATGAAATCCTGTTAATATTCATGAAGCCTCGTGTGGGAAAACCGTTTTCCCGTTGCAAAACCGAATTTACCGTTTTGTACCTGAAACAAATTTGTCCTGCTAGGCGCGCAACTTTCCAGCGAAGTATCCTGTTCGCCACGTCACAAAAGTCAAAGCTCGAGATTCAGTTATTCAACTGAAATCTCGAGTCAATCCCGAGCACCCTTCGGGATTCCTCGGCACCCCCCGAAACCCACGCGCACCCCTGAGGGGTGCAATCATGCGCGACCGAAATTTTGGTCGTGCTGTACAGCACACTTACGTGCGCTGTCTTGCACGAGGACAGGGCCGTAATGTGCCCTGTCCTATTGCGATCGTAGGCCCTGCCACGCTTGCAACAGTGACACGGCACACGCGCGAACCATGAGGGGCCACACGCGTGTGTCAGGACCCTACGCGCGGGTTCTGACCTTCGCGCACAGTTGACCTTGACCAGCGCAAAGTGGCAAAACCACTCGCCACTCATTAAAATGCTAAAAAAACATCAACTCTCATGAACTCTCATGAAACCTCGCGAAAACACAGGAGAAACAATGAGCGCACACGCAGACTCATAAACATTCGCGGACTCGCGGGAACTTACCAAAACTCACGAAGTTTCATGCGCTTTCACGGAAACTCATGAACATTCATGAAATGCACTAAAAAAAAAAAAATGCATTTAACTTATGAACCGCTAAGGCGATTCACAAACCGTAAACGCACAAAATGTCAAGCACACAAACGCAGATCTCACACTTCACAAAATTACCTTAAAACAGGAATTCTCATTTTCCATTACCGTCGGCGAATAGGCGGTAGGTTGACGTGCAAACCACATTTTGCACTCAACAAAACCGATAGAAAATATAGTGACAGTACCAGCGCGCCACTCGGTGGAAATCCGTCGGAACAAGTTGAGTGTTTTCTGATGGATTTCCATTGGTTGGACAGAAAACTGAACCTAAACCGCCTGTTTTCAGGCCCGTTTTTTTGTGATGAGGTGTTTTGCAAGCAAGGCGCCGTTCACTGGCAGCGAGAAGTAGCAGTACTAGTAAGAAGAAGCCGTTATCGACCACTGCCTCGTTTTCCTATTTTAAGGTTGATACACGCGCTCACGTGGTGTATTCGTGTCGCTATGCATTGCGATAACTTTATCGTCGCTTGATATTGTTAAATTTGACCACGCCGCTCCGCTGTGGTTGCTGTAGGCGGCGCTGGTCCCGCCAGCGGTTCCGAGCAGAGGAAATGAGGCGGTCAAGCAGCAAACGCACCGGGGTTAGCGCGCCTCGTCGATCAGTAGTAGTTGTAGGCTGCCCATTCCGTGATTTGCGGACAGGCCCTGTCAGGTGAAAATAGCCGCCGGGTTTGCCGTCGTGCAACAAAACAACAGTTTAGTAGAGCTACAGAAATGAACTTCTGATGAAAGGAAACACATGCGACAGCTTCTCACTAGTGGTGAGAGAGGGTGAGAGAGAGCGAAATGTGGGGAGACGAAATGCGGGTGAGAGCGAGGAAATGTTTGTGAGGGATGTGGCTGGACATCCATTTGAGTTCCCACTCGTCAACCTGCCGATCGTCCTCTTTTCCACTTCCTGCGACTTAACACCTGCCTTCCCTCCACGCCCTCCCCTTTCGTTCTCTCGTATATGACCTGTCCTTCACTGCAGCCTTTCCTCTGCTCTTCCACTCACTGCCCTTCGCTCCTCTCCTGCACACCTCACCCTTCCCTCTTCTTTTTGGGTCCCTGCCCTTCCCTCCCTGCCGCCAACGCAATTCCTGCTGGATTGTCAGAAGGCGTGGAGCACAACGTTTGACGGCTGGGTGGTTGGTGGGGACTGCAGCAATGCAAGCAGCATCACGTGCGACTCCCAGGGCATGATAAAGACGATGTGAGTGGACCCTGTTTCTTGTGCGACAATTTGAAGATACCTGACATCATCACAAAAATGTGTGCGTCTGGAAATCATCTGACCATTTTTTTTTAATGCAAGTCTCCAAAAATCGTTTGACAATCATCCAGGAACCATCTATATATCATTTGTATAGCATTTTTGTCAGACCAAATGATTTGCGGATGTTTTAGTAATGGTTTTGCAATGTTTCAATGGTTTGTTTGTCAGATGTTAATTGTTGAGACAATAATAAGGTTGCTTAAAAGTGCGTTTTACACTCAAAATAGGTTATAGGTCATCGACACAGTAGCAATTTAATTTGCATCACCAGATGAACCTATTGAGCAGCTTCACATCAGAGTCTTTGCAGCACGGGACAACATGCACGATGCTAAGAATGCAATCTGCATCTACAACTGCATAGTTCTAGGTGCCCTTCGTGGCAACAGTCGTTTGCAGCCAGTGTACCGGCAGACACGCCGATCCTCCGTGTAGTAATCGATGTAGGCGGCCTTTTTCGCCACGCCATCTTTCACGTAATGGAACAGCATCAAGCAGCGGCCGTACCAGTTGGCCCCCTTGCCAGCTGGATTTATGGCTACATCTGAAAAGTGCTTTTCAGATGAGCTTGCTTTGACAAACTGCCCCTTCTCGGTCCACTCCATCCTGTCGTGCGGTGGAATTGCCATGGCAGTGTGCACCTGCGAATAGGCAAGCAGGGATTGCAGCACAACAATGGAAGGTTGAGTTAGGGTTTTTTGGGATGGGGTGCTGACGGGTGCGTTGATACAACAGGATGCCATGCCTGGGTTGGGCCCATTACAACTATGCTGCCCGCGTTTAACAGGACTATGTGGCAGTGGCAGTTTGCATTGCAGTTAGCTCTGTATTGATTCTCACATTGAGCACTTGGTCGCGGATTCCCTCCATGGCCAGCCGCTTCTTCAAGCAGCCCATCGCTTCATCTCTGTGAACAAGGACATAGCTCCTGAACACATCATCCGTGATCTGCCCCACGGTCATCTTCTTGTGTGTCTTGGTCAGCACCCGACGCCCAAGCGTGAAAGCCTGGGTAGGAGGGTGATGGATGCATGGTGTACATGGGGGGTAGCAGAAAAGGGGCAGCACTTGAGTACAATGGCGGCAGCAGTGAGAGGGAGCAGGGATTAGGGACAAGTGGGAGAGTAGAGTGGGGCAGTTCGAGAGGTCAAAGGGTGCAGCAAGAGGAGGGAGCATAGGTGGACAAGTGGAAATCAAGAGAGGGCGAAGGAAAGACAAAAGGGTAGGAGGGTTCAGGAAGTGTCATGGATGGACAAATGGGTTTATGGGGGGGAGAACGAGGGGGCAACGTGTTTAGCAGGACGAAAGTTCATGGGTGGACTAGTGGGGGAGCATTGGCGGGCAGAACGACGGATAATAGAGGGGGCCGGGGGAGGGGCATGGGTGGATAAGTGGGGGAGCATGTGGGGGCAAAACGGGATGTGAAGGGTGGCAGCTAGTGGTAGGTTGATGGGTGGACAAGATGGTGAGCATATGGGTGCAAAACGGGATGTCAAGGGGGGCAGCGGGAGGTAGGGTTTGGGTGGACGACATGGGGAGAATGTGGGGCCAGAAGTGGATGTCAAGGCGGGCAGCTGGAGGAAGGTCCACTAAGTAACAAGTGTGGGAGCATGGGGGTGCCTAACGGAATGCCAATGGTTCAGAGTAGCAAGAGGAGGGACCAGTGGGGCTCAGGAGTAGAGGCAGTGTTTAGTCCAAAACAAGAGGTTATAGAGGCGAGCATGCGGAAGGAGCTTGCGGGGACAATTGGTGGGCATGATCGGTTTTAAGGTGTACACAGGCTCACCTCCTTCATGGCTGTCTCGTAGGTTTTGTCCCCGCCGGAGGCCCGAGACAGCTGTCGAACAACGGCTTGCTCGATATGCTTCTTCACAATTCGATCTTCCACACCCTTCTAGTCGGTGCCTCTGGATGGGCGCTTCACTGTTGTCTTGTGGGACTGCTCGTACTGGTTTGACGAGTACTCCTGTGGCAATCCCCGTGCACGGATCGTCGGTGGCAGGTGCGATACAAGATGTACCTTGATAATAAGCCACTTCGACTTCTGGTTGTCGAACGCTAGAACAAGCGCATCGACCATCCTGAATGGGATGTGGTCGGGTGGATTGAAAGAAAGATACGGGATTGGGGCATTGGGGTGGTGGGGAGTGGTTTAGTGTGCGTGGGCATATATACTACAATTCTACTATTAACAACATACATTGCGCCATACCTTCTCTCATGTTTTACTACCCTCTCTCATCCCCTCCCCCCTCCTCTCATCTCCCCCCCCCCCCCCCCCCCTCTCTCATCCCCTCCTTCCTTGTCTCTGCCCCTCCATTCCCTCACTCTGAGCCCCTCCTCTCGTCTTTATGCCCCTCTTCCCCTCTCTCAGCGCATCTTTCCCTTCCTCAGCCCATCGTTCCCTCTCTCGGCCCCTCTTTCCCTCTCTCGGCCCCTCTTTCCCTCTCCCGGCCCCTCTTTCCGTCTCTCGGCCCCTCTTTCTCTCTCTCGGCCCCTCTTTCCCTCGCTCTGCCCCTGTTTCCCTCACTTTGCCCCCCTTTTCTTATCTTTGCCCATCTTCCCCCTTTCTCAGCCCCCTATTTCCCACACATGGCCCCTTAATCCCTCACTCGACCCCTTCAGCCATCTCATTGTCCCTTCAGCCATCACACTAGACTTACTCGCAGGAGACCTCCTCCATGCGCTCAAGCGTGGCATCAGTGTGATACTCAGCCCGGATAAACTCCTTGTACCATTCCGACATGAGAGTGATGGCATGGCGAATATCGGCGCGCTTGGGGAGGTCGATGATGAGGGGCAGCACTTGCATCATGGCACGGTGCTCCAACGATGAGAAACAGGCCGTCGTGGTGAAGTACGCCCATGCGGATGGGAGTCGCAGCAAAGACGCAGGAGTCACTGCCTTGATAGTCTTGTAGCGTCTGCACGTATGGGATGCAATAAGGGTATCGGTTTTGGGGGTGTGAGGCGGGTGGGGTGGGGAAGGGAGGGGGGCGGGGGAAGGGTGGGGGGAGCAGGGGGGTTTAGTAGTTAGGTGCATCAGATCGCACCTCATCTCCCCGCTGTCTCTCTCTCAGTGCATCCCTTTCCGTCCTATGCCCCACTTTCCCAGACTCTATGCCTCACCTTTCCTCTCTCTGCCCCTCGTTCCCTCGCTCTGCCCCATGTTCTCCTCTCTCCGCCCCTCGTTCGCTTTCTCTGCCCCAATTTCCCTCTCTCTGCCCCAATTTCCCTCTCTCTGCCCCAATTTCCCTAGATCTTCCCCAATTTCCCTCTCAATGCCCCACTTGCCCTCTCTCAGCCGCAATCTCCCTTTCTCTCTGCCCAAACTTACCCTCTTGCCTTCTCTGCCCCTCCTGCCTGCTCTCTGCCCAGCAATCACTTCTCGCTGCCCCTCCTTCCATCTCTCTGCCCCTCCCTCCCTGTCTCTGTCCCGAATCCCTCTTTCTGCACCACTTCCCCCTCTCTCCACCCCGCATTCCTCCCTAGCTCTGTACACCACGCATTCCTCCATCGCTGCGACTAATTCCCTCTCTCTTCCCTACATTCCTCCTTATGTGCGTATCGTTCCCTCTCTACCCCGCATTTCCTCCTTCTCTCAGCCTCTTTCCCTCTCTCTACCTGCCATTCCTCCTTAGCCGCTTACCTTTCTCTCTTCCAGCGCCCTCCATTCCTGCTAGTTACCCCTCATGGACTCTCTCTGCCCCTCCTACCCTCTCTCTACCCCGCATTCCCTCTCTCTGCCCCGCCCTCCCTAACTCTCTCTGCCCCACTGTCCCCGTCCATTCCCCTCCTTACCTCTTTCTGTCCCTCGTTCCCACTTCACGCGCCGCCTTATCTCACTCTGCCTCGAAGTCACTTCTCTCTGCACCTCCTGCCTTCTTTGCCCCGCATTCGCTTATCGCTGCCCCCCCTTCCATCCATCTCCCACTCCTTCCCTCAATGTGCCCCAAATTACCTATCTCTGACCATCTTCCGCTCTCTCTGCCCCAATACCCCTCTCTCTCTCTCAAGCAGTCATGTATTGATATGGGTCACAAAGGTACAGGCATGGCGAGTGGTGGTAACTAGCAAGACTAAACATGGAAGTAACCAGGGAACCAGAACTAACATGCAAAACAGAGCAAGCCCGTCCAGCAGAAGCACACCGATCACCTAGCACCCAGAGCAGCCCGGTCCACAGCAGCACATGTCACTGAGACAACCCCACATTCCACCCATCCCTTGTACCTCCCATACCATAGGACCACCCCGTATCCTCCTTCCCCCCGATGCTTCCCCACACCTTCCCTGAGACGGCCTCCACTTCCTTGTCCCCCCTGGAACCTCCCAAACTTAGTGCTCTTCTTCCTGACCCTCATCACGCCCCTGCACCCCTCCCCTGCTGCCCCCCCGGCCGCACCCTGTCACCGAGTTCCTTCCACCCCAGCCCTCTAAGCCGCTCTAGCTGGAGCCTGGCGCTCCTCATACTCATCCACCTGTATCTGCCAGAGGTCTCCTAGGCGGGGCGCCCAAGGGTCCGCTGCAGCAGGAGGTGTAGAGAGAAGTGACTTGGCGGATAGGGTGGGGGTGTGAGGATTCGATGAACGAGGGCGGGATCATGTGAGGTGTGGTAGCATGCATGTCCAAGGTTGGAACATGGCGAGGTGTCTACCTCCAGCACAAGATGGAAGGGCAGCGTGAGTTGGGGTGCAGGCATGGGTGTTGTGAGCGTGGGACTCACGAAGGAGCAGTGGGGAGGGGATAAATTAATTTAGAACCAAGTGCGGTTTACAACCAAGAGGGGTTTGTTGTAAAGGAGACATTCTCCTTTACCTTTCGGCAGGTCCACGGGACCTGCCACCTAGTCTCATTTGCAACTTTCACTTCTCTAGTTTACCACCAGCACACACTAAACCCTTCCTTTGCCCAGATCTGGGCATAGGAGCACCTTGTTAGAAGACGTTATTGCTGTCCATTTTAATAGCATGACAGGCGGACTTGTTTGCGCTGTTAGCGGAAGGCCTCCCGCTTCTCGAATAAATTAACGGAGTGGTGGTCGTGGTGGTTCTCCCCAACGCGATGGTGATCGGGACTCCTCTTCACGCCGTGAGCGTTTTCGCTCTCCCCACAGCGGAAATTCTGCTGCCATTACTGCTCTGGATTTATTGAAACGTGCGCGGCAAGCCCCTCCTCGAAGCCCGAGAGCCGCAGGAGGCGATCGCGACGAATCTTCCAGTCAGGATTTTCCTCCCGGATTTCACGGCGAACGACGTGCGGACGGGTTACGCGGAGGCGAGACGAACGCACCTGACGGAAATGTCGCGCCCAGTCCCGAGGAAGCCCCAACACCAACCAAAAATGCCACACGTGTGGCACCCTCTTGTCCTGCGCGTGGCGATCGTAATGATCGCGACACTGCGCGTGTGGACCGTAATCATGAGGGTCCTGCGCGTGGGGCCGGCGATCACGATCTTGGTCAAGATCGCAATCTTGACCGTCGTGCGGACCGCTAGGAGCAGGACCCGAGGCGAGAATCTCGACGCCCAGATCCTGCACCTCGCCCGGCGACTCCGCTCGTTTCTCAGGATGGTCGAATCTCGCCTTCTGCAGCAGCGGATTTTGGCGAGATTCTCGCGCGTCTTGACCCAGCAGCCCAGCGAAACCTCTAGCGAATCTTCACGGGAGCTGCTGGCGAACGCGTTTCAGCGCACTATACTGCATCTACAGCGCCCCGCGCAGCAGAAAATTATTCTGCTCGTTATACCAACAATGAAGTTCCTACTGTTGCCAACAACGAAGCCATACATCACGTCATCGGCCTCCTCGCTGCTTTCCCGCGAGGAAATAATGGCGATCCCGCACCGCCTCCAGAACTTGCTCATCCCGCAGCAGCGGCAGCACCACGCTCTCGCCTCCCCCCTCCGGCCAAGGACCCGATGGCGACGACGCGGGCGACAACACACCCATCGAAAACTCGGATGAAGGTATTGCAGCTCGTCCCAAACCCGGCTCTGCCACCTTCAGGCTTTCTCCCATCCCCCCTGCTCGCCCCCAGCTGCGTTCCTCCTTAGTGAAAAATGATGGTATCCGTACGCAACTTTTTAGTTTCAAGCGTATTCAAGCTATTGCACGTCACGCCATTTCTGTTTTGCCTTCTAGCGGCGGCGAGCAAGCTGCCGACTACCTCCAGCAAATAGTGGACAAAACAGACGAAAAGATTCATTTACTCTTCATCGCCGACCAACTCGGTTTTGAGGTGGCCAATATGGCTTTAAAGATTGAATATGGCGAAGTGGTGGAAGATAAGAATGTAAAGGCTGCCACTCAAATCGTGGCAGCTCACAAAAAGAGACCTAATCGCCCCACCCATGCGAGCTCCTGTAGCGACCCTCCCCCTCGTGGTCGAGGCCAAGGAGAGCATAATTGGAACACGCGGCGCCGTGACGGTGACGGGGGTTGCTTCTAATGTCGCGAACCCGGACATGGGATCGCGGATTGCCCCCAGCGTGGCCAAGGCGCCAATAGGCCCGCTAAGATTGTATGAAGATTTATGTATGATTATGCCGTTATAATTTTTCAGATCTACGAACATCCGTCTTATTTTTGAAAAGATTGCCTTTGTTACTTACCAATGAAATTCTACAAAAAATATATATATATATGTAATAAACATACACACACAAACACAAACAGAGACACAGACACAGACACACACAGACACACAGACACACAGACACACACAGACACACACACAGACACACACACACACAGAGACATACACACAGACATACACACACACACACACATACACACACAGATACATACACACACACACACAGATATACAGACACACACAGACACACACACACACACACATACACACAAACACACACATTGTTGGCATGATAGGCCAAACATGTTATGGCTATGCCAAATGCTAAAAAGGCAAAAAAACAAAACAAAGAAAGTGAGAAGAGGAAGGAAGAGGGAGGGAGAGGAGTTAGAGAGAGAGAGAGAGAGAGAGAGAGAGAGAGAGAGAGAGAGAAGAAAGGAAGAGAGAGAAGAAAGGAAGGCAAGAGGTAGTGCAGAAGAGACGAGAGAAGAATAAAAAAAAAAAAAACAAAAAGGGGGGGGGGGGGGGGTGAGGAAAGAAGATTATAAGATACGGTTACGTTACCGCAACACTCACCCTTCCTCGTACACTCCTCCCCGCACCCCTAACCAGAGCTGGACGTCCTCGCCGCTCTCGGCACTTCACCCACTGATGCACCTTTCATGCGTGGTCGCCTTGGTGTGTGCGCCAGCTGGTGGGCCGCCTGGTGCGATAGCCGCTTCATCATGTCAGTAATCACATTCGGCTACCGTCTTCCGTGGGCATCCTCGGAGCCCACTCCCCAGTACGCGGCAAACCACTCGGGTGCCATTCAATTTACCGAATTTGCGGTCAAGGCAGTCACCGAGCTACTAGCGACAGGGGCGGCCCGAATGGTGCCCCCGTCGGAATCCCTCACATGCGTGAGCCCTTTAAATGCAGTCATCCAACCCTCAAAGAGGAGGCTCATATTGGACCTTCGAAACGTGAATACATTCTTGTCCGTCCCATGATTTCGTTACGAGGGCCTTAACCGGGTGCCCGACTTGGTGCATCGAGACGACTGCTATTTACCATCGATTTAAGGGCCGGATACCACCATGTGGACATCCACCCCGCATACTGGCGGTTTCTTGGTTTCACCCTCCAAGGACAACGCTATCAATTCATATCCTTGCCATTTGGACTAGCCACTGCGCCGTTTGTCTTCACCCAACTAATCAAGCAGCTCGCAAAGCGCTGGCGCAGCAAGGGCATTTGACTTATCCCATATGTTGACGACATCCTTTTTATAAATGCCACTCGAGCTGAGGCCCTCCGCAATCGAGCTATCATCCTGGCCGACCTCACAGCAAGCCAGATTCATTGTCAACTCAAAAAGGTCGCAGCTCGAGCCAAGTCAGTGCCTCAAATTCCTAGGACTCAGACTGGACACGCACACAACCTCTTTCTCCGTCGACGCTGATCGACCAGAGCGATTGCTTGTCGAGCTCCAACAGACTTGCACGCTTGGCGAACGGGGGCGGCGCATTTCGGTCCGACGCATCGCTCGCATTACTGGCATGCTTGAATCTATGGCGCTCGCCCTCGGCACCCTCACACGCGCCTTTTTCACATAATCTACTCTCACAAATCTCAGATTGCTCATCCTGGGGAGAGTCGGTCCTCTTGAACGGGGAGTCATTTGACGAGTTGCGCTTCTGGCTCTCCCAGTTCGATGTGTTCAACGGTTCGTGCTTTCACAACCCACATCTATACGACATCGTGATGTATGTGGACGCGAGCGACAGCGCTTGGGGGGCTTGCTATTCCGCACCCGATGGCCGCGTCGGTTCCCTTTCATCATACTTACCTCAGGCTCTTGTCGCCTCGTCCAACACGCTTCGCGAGCGGGAATTCTGTGGGCCCTCTCCACCTTTGCTGACGAGGTTCAGCACTGCCACATCCTTATGCACAGCGACAGCCAGGCAGCCTATTATATTCTGAGAAGAGGGGGCTCACGTCGTTCTGAGCTGACAATTGTATGCTGGGCCATGATTCAGCTCTGCGTGCATCACAAGATTC